AATATAACGTAGTAATAGATTTGTCTCATGAGCTGGATAAAAATTCTTGGAAACAGCTGCTAGCTTTCCCTCCGTGTGGCCTAACCCTAACCCTAACCCCGACCCTAACCCTGACCCTAACCCTGACTGTAACCCTGATCTTGACCCTAACCCTAACCCTGACCCTAACTCTAAGAACCTTCACACTTGTCAACAAGTCTGGAACTCTTTGCCTCTGGAGCTTAAGTCACAGACTGATGTTCGACTTTTCTCCACAAAATTGAAAAAACTAAAATGGCTTGTACTTTTTTTTTTTTTTTTTTAACTTCTCTTGTTTCTTATGCATCTGTGTGTTGTCCGTTCCCCCTTAATGCTAACACCTTTTAAAAGCCTAACCAGGGACGAAGGCTGCAAATTAGCCCATGGCTACAAGCCTTATGTACTTGGACATCTGCCATCTGTTTGGTTGCAATGTTTAATTGCACTGTCCCTGTCAAATAAACAAATAAATAAAATAAAGTCCTCTACACGTGTCCCGCTCATGTAAACACATCCTCCCTTCCTTACCTCCAGGGCCTGAAGGCGGGTTCGCTGCACTTCCCCGGGACGGCCTCCTCCTACCAGGGGGAGGTGGCCTCTGTGCGGGAGGTGGAGCCCATGCTGTACTACTCCTTATAATATAATATAACATAATATAATATAATATAATATAATATTATATAATATTATATAACAGAACATATTATAATAGCATGGAATAGAACATAACATAACATAACATAACATAACATAATATAATATATTATAACATAACATAATATAACATAACATAACATAACATAACATAACATAACATAACATAACAGAACATAACAGAACAGACAGGAAACATTTGTGTTATGATCTGGATAAAAATGTTTGGAAACAGCTGCTAGCTTTCCCTCTTTGTGGACTCTTCCTAACCCTAACCCTAACCCTAACCCTAACCCTGACCGTAACCCTGATCATGACCATAACCCCAACCCCTAACCCTGACCCTAACCGTGACCCTAACCTTAAGAACCTGCTCACTTATCAACAAGTCAGCTCCACTTGTCCCCTTCATGTACCCCCCCCCTCTCTCCCCCCCCCCCCCCCCCCCCCCCTCCCTCCAGGGCCTGAAGGCCGGTTCGCTGCACTTCCCCGGCACGGCCTCCACCTACCAGGGGGAGGTGGCCTCGGTTCGGGAGGTGGAGCCCATGCTGTACGACTACGGAAACGAGACGGCCTGGCGGCAGAACTCCGACCGGGTCATGGGCTGGTTCCGGGACCGGGACCTGGACTTCGTCTCGCTCTACTTCGGGGAACCTGACGGCGTGGGTCACAAACACGGTCCGGACTCCCCCCAGCGCCGGGCTATGGTCCAGCAAGTGGACCGCACCGTGGGCTACATCCGCCAATCGGCGGATCGCCACGGCCTTAGCGACCGGCTCAACATCATAGTTACGGCCGACCACGGGATGAGCACGGTGTACCGGGGCGCAGGGGTCCAGGAGATAACCCTATCCCGCATCCCCGGGTTCTCCTTCCGGGACCTGGACTTCCACATGGTGGACTACGGGCCGTCGGGGATGCTGCTGCCCAAAGAGGGGCGCCTGGAGAAGGTGTACGGAGCCCTGAGGGACGCCCACCCGCACCTGCACGTCTACCGCAAGGAGGAGGTGCCCGAGAGGCTGCACTTCGCCAAGCATGAGCGGATACTACCCATCGTGCTGTGGGCCGACCCCGGATACGTCATCAACGGGGTGGGTCCCAGAGGATAGGC